GGCGGAGGCGCTGTCGGTACCCCTGGCGGCGACACCCGGGTGCCGGCGGCGCTGTGGCTGATACTCTGAGCCCAGGCTCAGCAAGCTGAACACCTGCCCGTTGTTCTCCCATTGGATCTTCTGGCGCCAGTTGCCCGGAGCCGCCGGTGGCTCGCGCTGGGGCTGCTGTTGGCCCGTGACCGGAGGGGCGCAGCGCACGAGCGCGCAGAACTGCAGTGGGCCGAGCAGGAGCGCGGTCCAGGCGAAGCGCATCGCTCCCTTTGCCGGATTGTCCCCACTCGGGGAGGAGGTGGCTCAGAGAAAATGAAAACGGGGCTCAAGTCAAGTGAGGGAGGGAGAAATCCTCAGCCAGGGAGGCGGATGGAGCGCGGGTATCTCAGTCCCCACGAAGGAGTTGCAAGGGTGGGCTGCAGACCCTTCTCCAGTCAAGGCGGCTGCTCGGACGTGGCACTCGTCTCTCTCCCGTTTCCCAATCCTCTGGAAGGCGACGGGGAGCGGCGCGGCAGTCCAGGCGAGCGGGCAGTGCCTGGAGTGAAGGAAGGAGGAGAGGTTTTAAACTTCTGGCACGTTTGCAAAGTTACACAAGCCGTTCTGGCCCGGCCGCCTCTCCGCTATTTGTTCACGTAATGCGATTGGAAACGTGCAAGGCGGACAGCAACTCGCCTCTGCCCCTCCCTCCCTGTCCTGTCCTCCTCCCCCAGACACGTTGCACAGGGAGCGTTAAGGGGAAAGAACAAAACGGAACACACATCCTGAGACACACGGCTTAATCTGGGGCGAACATGCAGGAATTTCAAAAGACTCAGACAGGCGAAGGCAGCCAGGCCATGGGGCGAAGCCAAAATATGCAGGGAGAAAAATGCTATTAGGTCACCAGCCCCGGAGAGGCGGGAAGCGGGGAGGTGGGGAGGGTGCTGGGGGCGAGAGTGGGGGTGGGAGACGATTGTGACTAACGTCTATCCATAAAGGAGTTAACCAGACAGATTTCTGAATGTACACTCACACGCTTTTATGGGAAGCGCCCTCAGCAAATAAACCCCAGGATATCAAATTTTGTTTTTCTGTGTGTAGGTAATATGATAAATGGGTTACAAATTTGTTTCCTACAGTGAATATTTTAATAACCAAAAGTGAAATTTTACAGGGAACAAAGCCAGCTAACGCTGGAGCAATGAATAAACCTGTCTCTTTTTTCAAAATGCCTCCTCGATTTGTACTTTGAGTGGAACTGAAGAACCATCCTTCATCTCCACGGAATCTACCAGGAAGTTTCATTAAAGGGGGCTAGAAAAAGTCTGCCTAAGAGAGTACTCAGAAGGCATCTTCAAGTAAGCACTGTATCTGACTTTTTTTCTTTTTCTCCTCTACACCTAATAAGGCTTGTTTTTTTAAAAAATTTAAACCAATTTTGTTAAATATTGATAGTAGTAATGCATCCCATGGTGTTTGATCTTTCAATCTAAACAAAGAAGTTGCTAAAAAACAGCCTTGGAATTCACATTTTGGTAAAAAGAAAGGAGTAGGAGTGGCCAAAAGGAGAATGGGTAGGAGGATAAATTATGCTGACTGGAAAGAGATGCTTAACGGACCAGTTATTCACACACTGCTCAGGGTTTGGGCAGTGCTGGAATCATTCCAAAGAAAAATTGCTATGAAATGGCTTGATTTAAAACTACTACTCAAAACCAGATTTCGATAACCTTTTTATTGGTCTCATCATTGGGCTGTTGTCTAGATATACTTCAATATTCATCTGTCTTAGTCTCTGCCTTTCCATATTTAATCACCACATTTTCATGGTATGGTAGACATCTGCTGAATTGACTACCACATGCCTATTTTCCTTTTTTTTTTTTTTTTTTAATGATTATAGGTATTCATGGAGCACAGCTATTTTTTCCTTTTTTTTTTTTTTTTTTCTGGTAAAAACAACTGGATTTTCCTTTGAGAAACTTTTTCCCCAGTTGCATGGTGGGACTGACTGAGCATTCATGAGACCTCCCCAATTCAAGCAGTGGTCGTGAAATCGAAGTTTGGTAATTAAACCGTCTCCCTAGAATTGGAATCTTGAGCAGAAGGACACTAGGTGGAAAATGTTGCTCCTCCCACTTCTAAACAAAGTGTTAGTTAGGTGTTGCTCCAGATCCCCCCTGAGCTGCTTTATGTTAGTCCATTCCAACACCCCGTTCTTCAGCTTTTCTTTCAATTCTTCCAATGTATTCCATTGTGGCTTACTATGGTTAGAGTCAATTTCTGTTGTTCACCACCTAAGGAACCTGACTGACACTAAGGGAGTTGTGGCTGGTTCTCCCAGCTAATCAGGTCACATGATTCTGAATCCAGGATGATGAGTTTGGCTCTTTTTGAGTCAAGTTAGATTTGTTCTGCTCAGGACCACTCAGCATCCTTGGTCATAAAGAGATACCAGATGTAAGCTTGCTAATGGATTGGCAAATCCATTGCTTATATGATGAAGATAAAAATTCAAGTGGAAATCCCACTGGTGGTGAGTCAGCTGTGATGTCTCCCTGTATAAAGGACAGAGATATACCTAGCTGTCATTTTACAGATTTTCTGCAGTGCTTAAAATTAAACTACTCAATTTCTCTAAACTCCCTAAGGAAGACGGGGTAAAAGAAGAAGAAACAGGTGTATATAATTTGGATGGACAAGCCAAATTATAGAAGAAGCAGGAAGGGAGAGGATATAATTATCTCTCATCTGAAAAAGATTCTGCATGCGCCCATGAACAGCTTTTTCCCCAGAAAAGTCCCAAACTGCTGTTACTCAACCACAGGTTCCTATGGAGGTCATGCTGGCAGGGTGGCCGACCAAAGTAGCTCCTAATGGGAGGGTAGAAAGTTTTCACTGGATCTCAGATAATAATACCCTTGTTTCCAATCATGGTGTTGTCATAAAAAAAAATTTAAAAATCAACTGTGTATCTTTGGACAGCTGATATACTCTCTCTGGCTCCTAGTTATCTGAATGATTGATTTAAGGATTAGCCCAAATCCTTTCTAAGGTATTGTTCCTAGTTTTAAAATATCGAATTTTTGTGAATATCTAAGTTTTCCAGATACTTTCAATTTATTAGGTGCAATGTTTTATTATGATTATTAATATTTAATCAAATAATTCCTTTAGTTGGACTTTAAAACATTGGATGCATTTTATGTGTGAGTTAGAGTCTGCAGACTGCAATTTTCTCTTTGTACATATTTTCCATCAGTGAAATTCCATACACATATATTTGTTTTACAAACATTTCTTGAATACATTTATGCTCTGAAGTGTAGTAAACCATAATGGCATTTTGTACACATGATCACTAAAAATTTATAGCTGAGTGATGTTGATTAATATTTTTTTAATTTGCTCCAACAGACTTAAAAATGTCTTGTCAGAGTATAAATAACTAACAAGCACAGTAATGATGCACAATATGTATTTTCTTTTAAACATGCACACATATGCACTCTTTCAGGGGGAAAAACATATTACCTTTTGTCACACATCCTAATAAAAAGCTTAGTTGATTTTTCTCTCTTCCATTTCCTTTAAACTCTCTCTGGCTTAAGACTCAGCCAGCTGAAAAACAAACATGTGGCTACCACATTGGGACAATAGAAAGTGTTTGCAAGTCCTGTGGGAGACAATCTGGCCACACGTTGTACTTTCTGTTCAATGACAAAACCAGTATTCACAAAATGGGAGAAAACATAGTTTCTTCCCACTCAACACTGTAAAAATAACAATAACTACAGATGCATCAAGATGCTTCCAGGGTTTTAGCTTTGGTAAAGTCCACAGCTGATTCCACTGTTAACCATGAGACTTTCTTTTTGCATACAATTCTGCATTATGTACCATACGATGAGAGATTGAATGATGCTTTTTTTGAGGTCCTAGCCCATCAATATCAAGTTTTCATATTTTCAAACTGCAATGTCTGGCCCATTGACCAAGAAATAAAACTTGGCATAAGGCAACTGGTATTTGTGTTCCTGGTATTTGTTAAATGCATTTATTTGTGGGATCTTTTATACAAATGTAGACTTATGCAGTGCTGTGGATTGAATGTCCCTCCAAAATACAGTGAAGCTTGACCTCCACTTTAACAATGTTAAGTGGGTGAAAAATCAGACTATGGCAATGTTGAAAGGTGTGGCCTTTAAGAGGTGATTAGATCATGAGGACAATGCTCTCATGAATAGGTTAATCCATTCATAGAGTAATGGGTTAATGAATGGGTTAATAGGTGAACAGCAAGTGGCTCTGGTAGCTCTATAAGAAGAGCAAATTGGAGAACTCTTGCCATTCTTCCCATGTGATAGTACGTATCACCACAGAACTCTGTAGAGAGTTCCCAGAACAGTAGAAGGTCTTCATCAGATGTACCTTCTGGACATTGCACTTCCCAGCCTCCACATTTATAAGAAATAAATGTTGTTTTTGTATAAATTACCCCACTTCAGGTATTCTCTTTTAAACAACAGAAAACTAATTATTACAGAAAATTTGTACCAAGAAGTGGGGCTGTTGCTCATAACAAATACATGAAAATATAGAAGAATCTTTGGAACTGAGCATAGGCTGAAAGATTTGGAAGAGCAGACTAGAAAATGCCTAGATTCTGGTAAGGGCTTAGAAGAGAAGACTAGGGAAAGTTTGGAACATTTTAGAATAGTTAAGAAGTAGTGACTAGAATGCTTATAGAAATATGGACTGTAAAGACCATTTTGAGGAGGTATCAGATGGAAATGAGGAGAAGCTTATTGGAAATTGGAACAAAGGTCATGTGTGTTATGAACTGGCAAAGAACTTGGCTGCAATGTGTCCACACCCAAGAGCTTTATGCAATGTGGAATTTAAGAGTGATAAACCAGAATATTTGACAGAAGAAATTTCTAAGCAGCAAAGCATTCAAGCAGATGCATAGCTACTTCTAACAGTTTACAATGAAATATAACAGCAAAGCCATGATGTAAAGGCAGAATTTATAATTAAAAGGAAAACAGAGGGTAAAAAATTGGAAAACTCTCAGCCTTGCCATGTAAAGGGGGAAAGGTTTGTTCAGGAGAGAATATCAAGGGTGTAGCCCAGCAACCACCTGCTGAGAAGATTAGTGCAGAGAAAAGAGACCTTCAAGAGAATGGAAGAAAGATCTTTTTTTTTTTTTTTTTTTTTTTTTTTTTCGTGTCCGGCAACGGATCGCAACCCCCAGTGTTGCCCCCGTACTGGCCCGGGACCG